CAGCTCTGGCTGGTGCCAAACTAAGGAGAGTTCAACGGGTAAGGAGGTGGCACTGGGACTCCCCGATGGGCTCTTCTCTGCTGCGGGAAAGCCTGGCACAGCTTGGTGTAATGGTCTGCAAATCCAGCGTGAAACATGGTGATACACGCTTCAGCTGACCATTAGGTGAACTTTTAAATGTGAGTTTGTAGTGCAAATAAAGCTGAACAGGAAATGTTTGGTAGAATTTCTGATCTTCAGAAAATGTTAATTAGCAAATGACTGCAAGTTCTTATGTTGCCAGGACTTCATTACTTTTGCAAAGTCCACCATTGTACTATCTGTTAGTGATTTCAGTCATTGTAAGTGGTTAAAACTGCACCATGCTTACAAAAAACAGTGTAGACTGTTGAGGCTTCCTGTCAATAGGTGTCTACTTAGGTAAGGGTTGCATAACCATGCATAAACATAATCATGAGCAAACAGCACTGTGGATTTTTTCATCATCTGCCCATATATTTGCCTCACCCAGACTGTTCCTGGTTTTAGTAAGGTCCATGTGAGTCTTCTTCCCAAGGCAGAACACATCCTACCTCTGGTTTTGGACTGTGATTGTGATCGCTGTTCCTAATAATTAGAAAAACTAATCATTTAGGGTGTGGTTGTAAATGAAACTTTTCATTAATTCCAATGTTGATTTCTGTCTTAAGCCAGAAGATGGTTCAGGAGGGTCCAGCCCCAGTGGGGTCTCTAAGAGCGATGCCAATCGAACAAGTAGCGGAGGAGGCGGAGGAGGACTAATGGAAGAAATGAATAAGTTACTGGCAAAAAGGTTTGTACTGAGACTTCAAGCTAGCACTAGCATGAGCTCTGCAGCAAACTGCGGAACAAGGTGCTGTCATTTTTGGTTAGCAATGGGTCACTTTGGTGCTTCTTTGCAATTTGACAGGTCCTGCATAGATGTTAGTCACTAGCATTGCCTGACCTTCTGGCCTTTAGTATGAAAGTGTAGGTGTTGCAGCAAGGACACCTGACAGAGTTTAGCTTCTGTAGCAAACCCTGCAGTGTGGTAGCCTTCAAAGATGGTGATAAATACATCCTCTGGGCTTTTACCGGTTTACCAGATCTATTTCAAAGTTACTGGTTTTGGAAACAGTAAACTATGAAAGGAACTTAGATAAATCATTCTTTATGCAGCACATTCAGGATGTTGGGCCCAAAAATATAAACAGAAGTACAATAAAAGGACAACATCTTGGCAGGTGAATTTTTATCGATTCTTATTGTATTTCAGTCAGGCTAGCCAAGTTATTCTCCACTGAAGTGAGTTGTGATATATCAAGCTACCAGCTGTTAAAAGGCACTCAATTGTTCCAATTATTTTTTCTTTCTCTTTTCTCCCTGATTCCATCAGTAATGTTCTGTCAGACTCCCAAGTTCCTAGTGTTAGATGTTTTATTTTTAGCTCTAAATTTTTTTTAACTTATGAATAGTGAAAGAAAAGGATGAGTAGAGTAATGAAGACTAGGTACGGTTGTATAGGGCACAGAGATGAAGTTTTTAAATAATATTGTCTAGTATAAAAACAGTTTCCAGTTCAGAGTATCTGATTCCAACTTTCCTCCATGTCCTGGTCATTTCAGAAGGAATTCTGAACATGGACTGTGGATGTAGTCCTTCGGAAAACATTAAATAAATACATAACACTATAAAAAGTTCACAGCAGTGTAAAACACCAAATAGCTAATTCTCTTTCTTTTCAGAATTAAAATAGCTTAACAGCATGTAATAATTATTTACTGGTTCACCTTCTGATCTGTTTTGTGCTGCTACATATCAAGACTGACCTTGCTGAACTGGAGGATATCTGTAAGCAAAGTAAGGTTTGGGGACTAGATGCTGGGGTAACTGGCTCTGTTCAAGCAAGCAAGCTAAATGGACGTCTCATATGCTTGGATATAGAAGTCCTACAAATTTCTGTGGTTCTAGTCTAAAAAGTACTCCAGCATAGCTTTCGGCAGTGGGGTCTGGTGTCTTCGGGTATTCAGGGTCTAATCCCCTCGGTATCTTAAGAAAAGCACCTGTACTGCTGTGAGCACCGTGCTGCCTCTACTCTAAACATAACTGAGCTGCAAATCCTTTCCCAGGGAGCTGACAACAACAGAATTGTCTCCTAAATTTTGCTTCACAAAGCCATGGAAGTCATTGGAAATACACAAGTGTCAGTCAAGGGTGCAATCAGGGCACATGCTGTTAAACTGATACTGAGAGGACTTCTTTTGGCTGCAGAACCCTTTTTATGTATGATGACATAGAGAAAGGAAGAACCTGACACTGTGTTTCAGGTTGCTTTTACTGATCTGGCAGCCAGGAGGTAAAAAAGACCTTTTTCTAAATTGAGCATGTTCAATACAGAAATCACAGTGATGAGCATGGCATATCAGGGGCCCTTTTTTGAGCAGAAAACCACATGCTCAAAAACAGAGAATGGTGTTTAATGCTGGGTAAGTAACAGAGGAAAACGCTTCTGAGAGCTCAGGTGGTATAAAACACCACTCTCCAGATTTAGTGGCCCCCATGAGAGCAGCCCTTTGCTTCAGGACTGAAGTGCAAGCAGAATAATGAGCTATCTCACAAACCACGATCATTTCTAGCCCAGTTAAATTTGTTGCAGGACATAAATCTAACACTGGTCTCTCACCCTCGCTCAGGTTTGTAATCATTATAACCTTTTTTTCCTCAGAAGAATCAAGTAAATATTAGAGAAAGACTATAAAAATTATTACTGATCTAATAAAATTATTAGTGCAGTTGAATATCTGGAAATAATTCCCACAGAGCACTGTGTCCTACAAACACATGCCTGTGTTTTACTGCTCCGTTTTTTTGTCAAATCCTCCAATTTGTGTATCCAGTGAGGCTTTTCTTTTGCCAGCGATACAAAAAAAAATCCTTTGACAAACTTGTGGCAGTGTTTTGAAACTCAGAAGCCTTTCTATGCCACTTGGGATTATTTTTTTTTTCCTGAGAGATGAATTTTGTCCACTTCAGAACCAAGAGTAAATGAGAAACTTGTCATATTGGTGTTTTAAAAAACATCTGCTAAGGGTAGTGTTCACAGGTGGATAAGAATAAGGATCATTACAACCAAAATCCACGTGGAGACTAGAGCTGCAGTTCCCCTAATTGTCTAAAATGGGAAATTGGATGTCTGGGGAATCAGTACATGGCACACTTGAGTACTGTTTAGACCCTAAGTAGGGTTTGAAAATCAAGAATTTGGTTTTCTTTTCTTCAGCCACTTTGGCTAACACCTAAGAAACTTTACCATGCATTCTTCAAAGATAAACAACCAACATCTTTGTTTACTCTCATGTCCAATTGCTCCAGTGGATGGATTGCAGCTCTTTGCCACTTGCTTCTCGGAGGCTTTTGCCTCTCCTTGGGAAGGAGGATGGACTGAGGGTCTCAGGTGCTCGCTCAACTTCTGTAGGCACCACCAACACTGCCAGTCCTGGGACTACAGGGCTCAGGAGCTCTGCTGCCTTTGAATTGGATTTGAGACAGAAATAATCTCCCATCACTCACCAAAGGCACTTGAAAACCCAGGGTGGTGCACCTGTTTCCTGACTCCTGGTCTCCAGCCAGAGCTTTCCCACCCTGGAGGGAGCAGGGGTCTTGGCTGAGCAGAAATGGTGCCTGATCTTTCCTGATGAGGATGGACCTGGGTTGAAAGGCTTTTCTGACTGTCTTCCCTTCACATGGGAGCATTGCCACAGCCCTTTCTCAGAGTGGGAACAAGGATGGAGGGTTAAAGGACAGGTGGCAAAATGATATTAGAGCTGGCTGAGAACATAGCATCATTACTGCAATACCCACCTGAGCCACCTGGGAGGGGGTGGGCTGGTCCTCAGAAACCCCTCTGGGAGTTTGGTTTGGTCCTCCTGTGTAGGACACTGGAGCCACCACTTCCTGAGCCCTAGAGAGAAGCCATCGCTTTCTCACCCAGTTTCATATGCAGCTGTGCTTCCTTCCTCCATTTCAACACATTTCCTTATGCTTTGCACCCTGTGTTCCTCTGTTTAACACCACCTCATAATATTGCCCCTCTCCCTGAGTCGTATTGCTGAGGTCCGAATTCCTCACCTCCACTCCAGTCCTATGCAACCGAACACATCCAGCCTTTGTCATGTTCCCTACGATGAACTAAGTAAATAATAACTCCCACCAGAGCCTGAATCAGCCTTCACACATGGTGGATGTGTTTCTAGAGGGTTGACTGTGTGTCCTATCTCATGTTCCTTTGCAAAGGAGGAAAGCGGCGTCGCAGTCAGACAAGCCAGTTGACAAAAAGGAAGAGGAAAGCCAAAATGTAAGTGAAAGACTGCATTAGTTTACATCCCAAATCAAACTTTTCAATAGCACCAAACTGTTTAGAAAGGTGTTTTAGAGAACATCTGTTTAATGTGTATCTTGAGTACGCTTTGTGGTGGGAGTATCTTCTGTGAAACTGAGTACAATTCCATTTTACAATGGACAGTTGATGCTTTGCCTGAGTGTGATTTGAGGGCTGCTAAATAATATTGACATGTCAAATATATGGGTGAATGTTTTACGATCTGTCACACATAAATCCCAGAAAAAAGAGTCCAAATCTGTGATGTAGTGATTAATCTTCTACTTAGGAGGGGTATTGATTGATTTAGTTACATTCTGTTAGTACCTGGACTACTCTCACTGATACCAGTGGCTGTCCTGCGCTAAAAATCTGGAATCTGACCTACTGTTCCTTCAGATGGCTCAGTTTCCGTATCACAGAGAGCTTCTAAATTTGGGAAACGGATAGTCTGTATTTAGGCAACAGCAGCCAGCACTTTAGAGTGGTAATTCAGCCTGGTTTGGTACACAGGGATGAGAGTGATTCAGTGGAATCATGAAAGGTGTCCATATTAGCAAAAAATAAAAAGGATGTATTTTGCCATGCTAAAGGGAGAGAAAGGCTAAAGTTTAAATAGACTTGAGCCCGTACCTTGGCAGCAGTGCATGTTGGACATGCTTAGAGGAAACTTGCTTTTGTACCACCTGTGCTGCAGCTGGTCTATAGAGTAGAAGGAAACTTTGTGCTTCATCTCCAGAATTCAGTAATGTCTTGGTTTTCTCTTTGTAGGATGATGCTAGCACCTCTCCTTCACCCAGTACACGAGGTCCCGCCCAGCAGCAGCAAAATTCGTCAGGTATTAAATGAAACTACTAGTGTTGTAGTTGTCTTCTTAATCTAGTCTTCTCCACCACCTCTAGACTCCAGGTTCATTGTCCTACTTCAGAGTGCAGCAGCAGTAACTAACCAAAAAATTCCCAAATATCTATTGTTTTAAAAACTGTGCTCTGCAAGAAACTGTGATTTTATATGCTTCACCGCCAGGAAAATGACAATGCAGCCAGTTTAGTTAAGGGGGTCCAGGTATGTAGCTGAGGATCTGTGTCTTCAACATTGTGCACCTAAATTTTTTAAGACAAAAAAGCTAGGTTATTTTACTTTTGGTAGTGTAGCTGTCCTGGTTTACACAGTTGGGGTTTGGGTCTCAAACTGTTATCCTTCCTTAACCTAGTAGCTTGTTGCAGCAAGCCTGATCCTGAGAGTTACTAGGTGAAATTAAGGAGCCCCCTAAATACGTTTTTCCTATGATGAGTTGAAATAACTGTAGCTGAGTAGATAAGCTGCAAGCCAGTCAGATTCATCCTTGCATCAGCCTTGGCTTTCATACATGCTAAAAGAAATCTCTCCCAAGGGAATGGCAGCTTCCTTTTGGAACAAAGCCATGAGTTGCATGCTTTGCAAGAGAAGGGGAAGAAGCCGGAAGAAGCCAGAAGAAAGGTGCATGTGAATGAGGAATGAGATCTAGAGATTTCCTGGGAGTCCACATAATTTTTTTTAAGAGCTTTTTAGGAACTCATAGAGGAGCAAACCCTTGTGTATAAAGTTGTGTGTTATTCAAGTCTCTGAAACGGTTTACTTTATTTTAGACTCTTTGCATAGAAGGAGATTGGGACGACAGTAAGCGTTCTCAGTAACAAGGTTATGTAGTGCAGCTTTTGGGAATGATCTGCAAGTTAGAAATGTAAACAACATAAAATAAATTATCTGTGGAGATTTGCATAGTGGGGGTCTCACTGCCTTTTTTTAAATACACCCACTTTTCTGCCAACTATGCAGACAAGAAACGTAAGACTTTTTAACTTAAAATATAAATAAGTATTGTACTGAATAAGATAAGCCTTGCAGCAATTAGCCTGTATTTCTTAATAGAAGTGATATATGCTTTGCCTCTTACTGTTCCAGTTCTATGTCTTTTTAGTATTGTTTAACTATCTGGTCCCTAATTAAAGGGATCACTAAGCAGATTTTTGCCAATGCTTTCTCTGTAATGTAGTCAACTGCACTCATTCAGTAATCCTGCTTTCCTGGATCTTTCTAAGTCACTCATCCTCACTGAATGAAAGCAGCTGTATAAGACAATCAACTTCAGGATGTTTTTACCATTAGAGAAAAAATAATAAACGGTAACTTTTCATTTTTGTTTTACAGACTCTGGGAAGAAGCCATGGGAAAGGAGCAATTCTGTTGAAAAGCCTGTATCTTCATTACTTTCTAGGTGAGCTGCACACGATGTCCCTGTGGCTGGCTAGCAGTCGGGATGGTCATGCTGTCCCCATGGCACATACACAACTCATGTCTTGTTTCATTCCATTGCTGTAGAAATCCATCAGTGGTGAAGAGCTGTGAAGCTAAGAGCCCCACACAATCCCACGTGTCTTCTAGGTACTGGCTAACAGCCCGGCTTCTTAACCGTCTTGGCTTGTCCTTTGGCTAATCCCATCATCCAGCACTAATGTTTGTCTTCTGTCACGTCTTTTAGTCATTCTCTTACAATCTGCTTTGTCTGTCGCTGTACAAAGTGTGAAGGTAGAGTGTATCATGTCAAAGGCTTGTTCCGTGGAAACAGCCCCCTGCTCAGGTGGGCACAGGCATCACAGATGTTAATCACACTTAAGCAAGGGCTTAAAGCATCCGTGCTCGTGAATAGAGGCACAGGCTTGGCAGCACGCTGTGCCACGTGGAAGGCAGGTTTTGGAGCTTTCAGGTTCAGGATGCCCCTGCCAATAGGAGAAGTTTTCATTGTCCAACCTCTGAAAAAATTCAAAAGCAAAGGCAGAAATTATGTAAAGAGCCTGCAGCTGGGAGAAGGGAAGTTACTTCTCCATCCATGCAACTGCAGTGGGTGCATGAGAAAGGAGAGCAAAGATTGGTGCAGTGAGTTAACATCGAGCTGAAGAAAAGGCTCAGCCACAGCCAGGGCATTCAGAAATATGGAGTACAAAAGCTGGCAGGAGTCAAAAGCCAAGAAGGCTAAAGTAGGACCCCAGAAATCCTGTTGGTCAGAACAGCCAAGCTGCAGTAGCTCATGTCCTTCCTCACAGAGACTGAAATAGTTTGATGCTGGACAGCTAAAGAGAGACTTCCTTCCAGTGCTGGTCCAGGATCACCCAGTGTTAGTGCACTGGACACTGAGATTAATGGATAAGCTGAATAAGGAGGTAGAACACGGGCATGTTTATATGTTTAGCATTTGCTGCAAAGCAATGTCCCTTATTTTACACTGTTACGTATATGACAGTGCTGATAGTCTGCAGAGAGAAAGTTGCCAATGGCAACTGTCTGTACGTACTTGCTACTGTTTTAAAGATGCTGGAATGTGCCCTGCCCAAACATTCAGAGAGTTGTACTGGTGTTACTAGAGCAAAATACAGTCTCTCCAGCTGTCCTAAAACCAGTGGGACGTGTTGGTTCTAGGAAATATGTAAGAGTTTCCAGCAGATATAGAAAGACCATTCCTTCTCCTTGCAAATGAGAATGAAACATGGGCTATTTAAAGCAGCCATCAAGTTTTCACCAGCTATCTTCTATAATGCCATTCCATCCTGGGAGAAGGAGGAGTTCAGTGGGAAAAAATCCTTTGCTAGTTTAACACCTGGAGTAGTGATCAGTCTTTGCTTGCTTGAATGACTTCTGGGGGGGAACAGGTTTCAAAAGCTCTCAGCAGTGACCTGTTTCTGTTCCTGTTCAGTTTGATGGCATTTATATCTGTCCTCCCAGGTTAGCTGTGAGGTGGTAGGAGACACATTAAGTTTTCCCAAGAAAGGGTTGCAAAACCAAGCATGCCCTCAGGAGCAGCAGAATCTCCACTAGCCCTCAGTTTGGGCCCAAAGATGATGGCAAAGTTATTTGAAGCCTTCTCTATGAATTATATAGCATGGTTAATTTTTGAAATGTTTTAGAGTTACTGATTGAAAGAGAAAGTCAAACAGTTTCTGCTTCCTTAATTTATTTTATCAGCCATCAGCAGAGTTCAGCCCACTGACTAATACCATCCTGGAAGACCGATAACACCCAAGTGTACTAGCCATTAAGGCCAGATTGGTGGTGTTTCTTGGTCAAGAAAAAATGCCTGTGCTACACAGTGCTATCACCAAGCTCCACTTGACTCAGTCAGGCCTTCCAAGGAAAAGATTACTGAGTTATTCTTTTCGCTATAATATTTTTCTAACCTGTACACCACTATTACTTTAGCACCCAATTAAAGTCTAGGTGGCCAAGACAGCGTTGCTGTACAGAAAAGAGACTGTGAGAGAAAACCAGACATCTAGCTTGCAAATTGCAAATGCTGTAATAAAATACATTGTTAAATAGGCTTTATCCCCTGAAGACGTCTCAGCATTTTCTGATCTGAAATCATTGAGGCTCCCAACACCAAAAAAGAAAAGAGTAAATTAAGTTTGAGTGCAGTCTTTGTGCTCCCTCCAATATGTCTGCAATAGGATAAGGCAGCACCTTTGAGGGTCTGGCTGTGCAAAGGGGAGCAGAGCTGCTCTCCGGCCGCCGAACTCTCCTGAGCGGCACAAGAGGGAGCCTCCGGTCCAGCGCTCGAACACGGGTGCTCCTGCTCCGGGGTGGATTTCATCCACACCATCAGGTGTGTGTAGCTTAGCATGCATTGCAAGGAACTGACTGGCTTTTTTATGCTCTTCCTCCATTTCTCAAGGATGAAGCCAGTGAGCAGCAGCAATGATGTGGCTATGGATGCCTTAGATTTTGATCGAATGAAACAGGTGAGTGAAAAGGTCTTTTGCGCTTAAGAGATTTGACGAGCTACCCATTTTCCCCCATGCATGCGCTGTACAAGCAAAACAGCTGTTCAGTCTTCTGATTTCCTCTATAACTAGGTGCTTAGAGAAGGGCTAGCTGGTGAGCAGCAAGAGAGCACAATCTCACTGCTATTTGATCAAGATGTCTGTACAGAAATGTGCGAATAAATATGCCAGCATCTTCTGCATCCTTGGCCTGGGAGTGCAGACGTAGCTGTTAGTAGTGCTAGGCTCTGATCGTCAGTGGAGGCGGGGGAGAAGCACAGCCGTGTTAAACTTGCATTTTCTTCCACCGGTTAGAAGGAAATTCTGAGCAGCTGACTTGTGTTTTGTCTCATCAGGAAATATTGGAGGAAGTTGTAAGAGAGTTACACAAAGTGAAAGAGGAGATAATTGATGGTAAGAAAGAGAAAAATTATTATTTTTCTCATCTTTGTGACTAATTTCCCGTAGATAAGATGATAGGAACTGCAGAGAGTTCCCTGGTGTTTTCAAACTTCTCTGAGCAACTCTGATTTATATATACATTTGCAGAACAAGCATCTACCTTATCTGAGCTCTGATCGTGACATTTTGTTTACATCCTTTAGTTTTATGCTGTTGACAAGCATTTTCACCTCCAACCTGTGAGAAATTCACTGGCCGGTGTTTCTCACAGGTGGGAGGGTGAGAAAGGGCCTGCCTGTAGCCCGTGGCATGTCAATTTATCACAATCATGGAGCATGAAATTGCTTGTAACTAGCCGGCCACACAGGTCCAGGATGAGGAGAGGACGAAAGTACCAAACTGAAAATCCTTCCCGAGCATCTTCTGTAGGCTTCCTGTGCTTGAAGAGCTATTTCAGACCTTCACTTGATTACAGCTTTCCAAATAGCCATGTATTTTTATAATTCATTGAAAAAGTACAACAGCTGCACTAAATGTATTGGTACTTTTTTATAAATTGCTCTGCAATATATGACTGAATGTATTTTTCAGGGTCATTATTGACAGGCACAGCAATATACCTATCTGAAGTCCGTGTTAGGGCCTATGAAGATGCATCGCCACACCCTGCACTCCCCACCTTAGATTCACACAGAAGGGGAAAAAGAGGAGACTGTAAAACAGCTAAAATCCATTCCCTGTCCCCTTGCCCTATAGACCTGTGTGCTCACAAAACCTTGGGGCAGTTTGCAGTTGAGGAGACCCTTGCCCATATGCTACCGTCCCAGCAGCTTGGCCCTCAGAGCCTCCCTAGTTCATTCCAATGCAAAATAAGACATTCACATAAACCACAGATGCAACTTTTTAAACCAGTACTGCAGTTTGCAAGCAAACAGCTGACTGCTTACCCTTACTCATCCTTTTACCCTCCACTCATCCTTTTACCAGCGTGTACTTTCTGCAACCTCTATACTTAGCATTTGCCATCACACTGGGTATAACATTATGCATTAACTTTTTGGTTTGGTTTTCTAGCCATACGGCAGGAGTTGAGTAGAATCAGTACAACATAATGATTGCAAAGCATTTGGACGGTACTAAGAATGCTAGGAAGATCGGATCATTTCTAAGTGTACCAAGGTCATGCAAGATGGTGAGAGAGGACACCGGCACTGTATTTGTTCTTATACCCTTTTTATTAGCAGACTCAGCACACTTTGAAGCTTGCTGCTGCCTTGGATTCGCTTCATTTTAAAAGTCTTAATCTAAAGAATATTAAATTTTAAATTTCTGGATTTTTTAGATTTCATCTGACACTGCACATTGGATTTGTCAGCCTTTTTTGTATTTTGTATTTGCTTATTTAAATGTATTACCTTTCTTTTTAGTAGTAGATAAGAACACACGTGAACCATTTGCTTTTGATAGATGACTTCAAAGTAATTTTACTAGTAGTCTGCAATGTAAATGAAGATCCTTTGCCAACAGAAATGTATTGAGGCATCACCAGAAGAAACAGAGACATGTTAGTTGTCAGCCAACAAGTTCTTTGTCTCAGAGTTATCACAATATAAAAAAATGGTACGTCAGTGCATCACAGTATCTGTGTTCATATTGGTAATAAACTGTTTATTGTCCACATGGCCCTGCCTTTCTTTGTTTCATTTGTCCCTTGAGCTCCCGCACTTTTAGGTCACTTGGGTTGACGACGAGAGGAAGGTGATCGAGACTCACTGTAGGGCGGCAGCTCTGCCCGGCCAGCGCCGCAGAGCATGACGAGAGACCCTGAGCATCTTATGGCTGGTGCAATGGCAACAGCCCTGACTTCTTATACAGGAAGACGTGGCTCTCACCTGCCTGGCCCTCCTCGCATCGCTGGCTGAGCAACACCTCCTGTGGTCAGGCTGCGGCAACCTCAGCAACTTTTTGCCAAAGTCCGTGAAGGACAGTGGCTTACGGCTCTTCTCAGGCCATCACTAACTGATCCAGTGCATCTCCTGCCATCACTGAAAAAAGACCCAGGTCCCATCACCTGCGCTCATAAGGGTTTCCAGTACATAAAAGGGAGGTATTTATGAGGAACAAGGCTCTCGAAGGCATTAGGAGGGTGCAAGCTGAAATCACTAGCACAGCACTGCTGAACTCGAAGCTTAAGGGGAGGCATTTGTTATTATCTCATGTTTCATTTGTTAATGTTGTGCAAGTCTTGAGCTTTTTTTCATGGAAAGTGAAGTCAAAGATATGAGTACAGGACACCAAACATTTAACAGTGCACACCCACTCATATCGTTCAGGTCATACAATTTTTCTCCTTTGGAGCCATACTTTCCACCAGCACAACCTTGGGAATTTCTGCTTGACTTAGTTTGGCACAAGATTTACATGGCAGTAGTCTTGATACCATCTTCTTGATAACTTTGTGCAAAAGGCAAGAGATTGGAGTTCAGCTATTGAAATCTGTCCGATATTTTTGAAGCCCGCTGCTTTGCTTCAGACCTTCCTGAAGATTTTGTTTTAAAAGCCAGGCCCCAGAAACGGTTTTGGGAGCAGAGCCTGGTGCAGGAGCCCAGGAGAGTCTGTGGTTGTCCCCTTCCTCACGTTCCCCAGAGCTCAGGGAGCAGGGCAGGAGGGACTGCCTGCCAGCCACAGGAGATCCAGGAGAGGAGGTGGGATGGGGTGTGCTTTGCAGTTAGTTGTAAAATGCTACCTGCTTTGGCTTGGAGAGCATGGGGTTGTCCTTCACCACTCCTCAAAGCAACCCAATCTGCCTTTTAGAAAAGAGTCTTTTTTTTCAGTGTGGTTATACTGTAGGTTAAATACAGGAGAAATGGGAGAAATCTGAGTTTAATGCAATGGTGAGCTCCAGACTGAGCCTGATGTCTGTTAGCTGTTTAATGCCAGCAGAAGGTGAGAGACAGGTTAAACAGTGGGGTAAGATTTCCACATGGGAACTAAAGCAGGCAGACATTGATGTGCACAATACGACAACCTCGGGACCACAAGAAGGAGCCTTTTTAGTGTGAAGAACACAGACAAGCATCAGTAACAGCAAAGATTATAATGCTCTGTTGCATAAATCTCATACAGTAGCTCATGTGTTTCTTAATTATAAAGCCATTTAATGGCATACCTGACAATGGCAAGTACTTTTCAAAACTGCTGCCTTTCCGATGATCACAATCGTTCTGCGAAACTCTCCTATGATCTTAATTGAGCTTCAGGAAGTTGGGGCCTGGCACGGTTCATGTTTTGCCTTGGAATGTGGCATTATGCCTAAGGTCAGTAATAACCGTGTTGTAATTTGGGCTGAGTTTACAGCCCGGATGTGGTGTGCCCCTTTGTTAACATCAGCCACCTACTGTAAATGAGCGTTTCTTACCTTCTTCTACCTTTGCAGGCCTCGTATAATTAAGACATAATAAGCTGAAGTTTGCACAGGGCCACTGAATAGCTGTGGGAGCACGGTGTGTGGGGGTGGAAGGGGAAGCTTGGCTGACAGGGGCAGGGGAGCAGCCCTGGCACCAGCAGCGCTTTGCTGGTTCCTACCTTATGGCTCCAGCGACAGGGACACGTAGGGTGGTTTATTTGCAGTAGTGGCACTGCCGGAGGATTTCCCCCTCCCAGACACCAATTCAGTTTGCCTGTTGCCTCTGTAGAGAAGGGTGTCCCTTCACACTGGGCTTGTTGAGCTGATTCAATAGGGCAGCTACAGGCATTTTACATAGCAGAAACCAAAGGAGGCATTAACCTCCACTCTAACCTATCATACAGCTATTTGTTCCTCCCATCTCCTCTTGCCAGAGTATTAGTGTGGCCATACAATGAAGGAGATCTAGATTAATTTTTAAGCAAAGAGAATAAAACTATACCTAGCCATAAAGTACTTTTAACCCAGACCCATATGCCCTGTGGTTACGAAAAAAACCCCCGCCCTTCTGCCAGCATTACTAGTAGTGGGAAGGACAAGTGCCCATGGAGAGGACAGGATCACAGCCTTCTCCAGCAGCACCAGCACAGATTGAAACTCAGCTTGCATTGCACATCCACAGGTACCAGGCTTCCAGCCGCTTCAAATTCCCACTGAGATGGAGAGTGCAGACCAGGAGAGCTGTGGGGCTGCACAGGCCAAGCAAGCTGGGACCATGATGGAAATGCTGGTGGGAGGCAGGATAAGAAGCAGTTGCCAATTTTGGTTACCATCTGTTTAGACCATAGCCTCTGTGTCTAGATTACTACTAGGCTAGTAATCTATAGACCACACAGGTGACTGCATCATGGAACAGCTGAGTAAGGGAACTATAGAAAGGTCACTCTCCATAGAGGAGAAGGACAATAGTCAGATTGAGGAAGATAGCATAATCTTTATTATGGTTTTTATATTAACTTGCTAGGTTGGCCAAGAGAGTTGAGGAACAGCTTGCTAAGGACCTGGGAAGTTGAATATGTGATCATGGAGTGCCAGCAGCACTGAGGTAAATTAATAAAATACTGAAGTTCCCTGACATGAGCACTGACACAAAGAAGTTAATGCAGTTTCTGACACCAAAGCCTCTTCTTTTGGGAGAAAAGAGGCTTTAATAATTAAGATGTAACGTCTTAAGTATGTTCTTCACTGAAGAACCAGCGAAGTCTGAAGTGTCAGTAGAAGCCCTGTTCTTCCTCTTCTTTTCCAGAAGCACAACCCACGGACCAAAATGGTATCTGTGACCGAACTGGTATTCAGCCCCTGCATCACAAAGCATCTTGCACTGTTGAGCAAACCTGGGTATTCACCCAACTGCCAAAATCAGGTGGATGAGAAAAATGGAGGAAGGGGAAATGGAGGAGGAGGATCCTAAATTGCAGTAGGCTAGCTCGACTACCTGGTGTGCCAGGCTAGTGAATGGACAGACTGACTCACCTGATCCAGTGCTGTAGGAGGAAGGAACAAAACTGTGTTTATTGAGGAAATCAGGGTTCCCAGGTCTAATAGCATACTTTGAGGGACCAACAAGAATGCACAATAATCCTTTTCTTTGTTACAGACATGGATTTCCAGAAGAAAACAAAAAAGTCGAACTGTTAGAGTATAAGACGACCTTTATAGACTTTCTTTTAACCACTTAGTAAGGACAGAAACAACTTGTCAGCTTTCCATGGTGGAGAGAAGTTATTAGATGGCATCTGAACTCCTAAGATATTGTTCTGCTTGGAGGAAGGTACGGTGATTGAGGTTTTTAATGGTACAGATTTATTGAGGATAGCCAGAATTTTACAGTTGGAGAGGACAGGCAGAAAGATTTAAGTATTCCAGTGGGTAGAAATGATAGATGAAGGTTAATGTCAATAGCACAAAGTAAGACATGTAGGGAGAGAAACAACCCCAGTTCCATGTACCAGGAATATCCCCTTAACACCATCAGTGGCAACTTTTATATAGCTGGAGTATCATGTGCTTCCCAAATGTCACGTCAGCACCCCTTGAGTGACAGAGGAAAAAAGTTACAATTATTCTGAAAGGGGTTAGGAACAAATATCACCATTATATCTCCATGTCTTCACTGACACATACTCCTAAATCCTGTGCACAGAAAGGGGTATATTGTAAAGAAGACCAAGAAAGGTGATCAGGAATATTAACAACCTTGGCAAGCAGCAATTAAAACTAGAAACTTTCCATTCCCAGAGGGACTCACAGTGGAGAAAAGGATGAGAAATATGAAGTTATGAATACTGTTGAAAAGGTGAGTGAGAAATGACCACCCGGTTCCTCCAGGGGCACATCCATGCTGCTGATCAGGCAGTGAGCAGAAGACTAAAGGAAAAGTTTCTCCATGCCACAGTTGAGCTCTACCATTTAGCTACACTAAGTATTAGATCCTAAGGATAAAAATGCATCCAGAAAAGGTTTAGACAAAACCCTGGAATAAAGATCAAACAGCAGCTCTAAAATAATGATAAAAATGTACAAAAATATACACATATTCCATTGCATATACAAAATCTCTGCTACCAGCAATTATCAGAAGAAAGATATTAATTAGACAAGACATTGAGCTAAAGGCACCCTTGTGTTCTCTAGAAAGTATCATTACTACTGCGTGCCAGTTCTCCCTGATTCCACAGTTCTGTGCACGCAGAGCATCTACATCTAATCTGCCAGGAAGAGAAACCAGTCCTGAACTACACACACGGATGCTCACATATACATACACCGAGCATTCTCCATTGCAGACCAGGTCAAAACTCAGACTTAGGCACACGTGGCCCAGGAAGTTAATTCCAAGCCTAGACCAAAGGTTCACATAATCATAGCTCCCTCTAATCTAGTTTCTCAGGGTTACAAACACAAGTATCCTTTAACAAAAAGTATCAAGATTCTAAAATAGTGCATCCAAGTGCTTCATTTTCACACACATCGGGTCAGTCTAAGAATCACACCCCGATGCTCATTCAGCACACACAAACATCCTTCTACTTCTGGGGAAAAGTGAAGTCATTCAAATGAGCAAACAAAACACCAATGCAGCACACAGAGCTACTCTGTTAGCTTTCTTTTGCCAGCTTGCATTGTCTCTTAACCCTTGAATAAGGACCAATAGTGTCATCAAAAACAAAGTCCCACAGAACTCGAATCCAGGACTGGTGATGTGGGAGGTTATCGT